AACTGGGTTGTTTCGTCGTGAAGCTTTCATAGCTTTTCTAGACGACATCATCATGACTAAACAACCCAGCTCAGAGAACACAACACAACCAACATTAACCTAATTCACATACACCCAGATCAGTCATCCAATTCTGTCCACTTCTGCAGTCTTCTACAACAGAACACAAAGCTGTTGTTCACCGCCAATCAATTCATATACCACTCACTCATGAGTAAATTTGTTTATTATGGCTTGGGAAATTGATATTCTGTCTGCGAATTTTGATTATGTCCAAACATTGAACAGTAGAAATACTTTTAGCTTGATAATTGATGACGGGTGCAACAGGTAAGCCACCTACAGATTCATTGTTGCTTCTGGCTATAACGGTATTCTTAGTCGCAGAGAAGTTACGTCTTGTTCCTGTATGTGTGTGTGTGTGTGTGTGACATATTCTATAGAACTAGAAGTCGTTCCTAAGGGGATCGTCAATGCCATCCCATAAGTAACACGAGAAGATTCTAACCAGCGGTCTCTCGGATTACCGGACCAATGCTTTATCAAATGACAACCTCTTCATTCCATTTAAATCACACACGGTTTTACTACACTCTTATGTGACGACTGTATGACGACTATAAATCAATGAGATGCTTACTGCCTCTATCTTACTCAATTAAGGATGAGAATATTTAGGTGGGCAGTCACACTGGGATCACGATGAGATAACACAACAGTCAGGTTGAACACTGACGACTTACATCATTTATGCAGTTCTCCTCACCTGCTCAACAGTACTGTCTGCCAAGTTGAAGGCATTTCGTTCACAGTTCACAATCAACTCTAACCACAGTTGTCTACATTCTGATATGCCAAACATCGACAAATGTCACACATCTCCAATAGATATTTAATGCCTATCACAGAATAAACAACGTGATTCCGTTTTCATAATCATCAATATTTAGATAACCGAATTGAGATGAACAAAACTGTTGTCATAGCAGCATATTTCATTCAATACTTCGATGTGTTGATATGATATTCCAGGGTTGAGTGACTTTATAAGTCACCGCCCTAGTCAACAACTGCTCAGATAATCAATTACACTCTCGTCTATTTTATAAAATACTACCCTAACTCAGATGGTATCTGATTGGTTATCTCAGCAGTTGCTGAGGTGACCTCAACGTCACCCCAAGGTGTCGATTTCAACAGTGAAAATTGGCTCATTTCATGAAAAAGGAAATAATTTTCATATTGTGTTGCAAGATCTTTTTATCAAATCGGTACAGGTGATTCGATGATTTGCAATCCATCAAGCTTGAAATTTCGCTTGTTTGCCATACAGAGGCGAATAACTTAACCTCTGTTTGCATTCGGGCTGCCAAACAGATGCCTTAGTACTGTCCGATCACTCATTATATTGTAATCTGGTTAGTGGGTAGCAGTGAAGTCTGAGACGCATACTTTATCCTATTTGGGAGTCACTCATCAACTCCATGTTCCTACTCGTAACCAGCGTCCCATCGGTTTAAACACCATAACGTCAATCATTAGACCACTAAGGGATGACAGCCACCTCTTGTGAAACCAGATAAACTGTGTATGGACACATAAGATAGTTCCGGGATGGAGTGGATATAGTCTTAAATTTGTGAATAGCTAATTTAGGCTTCAACCAAGCTCAGTATTTGGCCATGGTAGTCCCTAGACAAAATTGTAAAACCAGTTTTAATATCGATGATGTGACCCTTATTTACCAAAGAAGGAGTATACTGTGCTAATGCAATTCGTTCTGTCTTGTTGTACAGCTGTGAGACATGGTCGTTGAAGATGGAATTGCATAGTGAGCAATGTTGGGGTTAGGCGAAGGGGATTAGACAAGGAAAGTGTGTCGATTGATATGGTTGTGAACTACCATCGACTGAGATAAGTTGGGTGTGTACTGTGCTTGTAGAGTCACCAGATACCTAGATGTGTGATACTCAGGGAGGTAGAGATTGATAACTGAATCATCATTGTTCATTGGATCAACACCACAGACATCCAGTAACAGGAATCATTCAACACCTCTCCCAGACATATGGAACATGCTGTTATCCATAATACAAAGAAGATGAGAGAGTAATTCTTCACCTACCAGTGAATTCGGGAGACTTTAAACACCACCCTGACAACAGTGGAAATGACCAATCAGGTGGTGATGGACTAGACTGTATCATGTAACAAACAACTGTGAGAAGCTGTGAGAAGATGGACATATACTGCTTGACCGATGAAACCACACGTGAGAAGATTTGGATTTCGCCCCGATGATGATTCACTTCTAATGTTTTGTCGCACAAACTCGAAGATGTACAGACGAAAACTAACAAGTTGTTAGAAGAGGTGAGGTGAGACAGTGAAAGAAAATGGGACTTGGTTCAGGTGAAGGTAGAGAAGACAAAGGTGATGAAGATACCATCCAAACACCACCACCACCACCAACAACAACAACAGGCATCAACCATTTCTATCGATTTATTAGGTTTACCACACAGTAACAGTAACAGTATTGTTTACTGGATTATCTTTCGGACATCATTTATGTTGTCCACAGTCATCATATCAAGTTAACTACACAACTTTCAGTTATCCTTTATACAGTCCTAATTTTCTCGCCTCTTCGTGAGATGTGCAGTGAAATTTTCCATATATCCGGAACAGGTGCTCAGTCATTCCTGTTGCTGCATGTCTTAGGTGTTGATTCGATATGCGAAGATTCAGTTATCAATCTCTCTCTCTCTCTCTCTCTCTCCATCCTGTTATGTTAGTCTGAAGAATTCTCACCCTATCCCATCCATTCTGTTGTGTGGTTGTGTGTAATCGCATGAATAGCTAGCTATGGCTGAGCTTTTTTCTAAATTCTTTACGCCACTAGGATCTACCAAGTTTGATCTAACTCAGTTTTTGTGTTCCCATAGCCTAATTGATCCTGGTCGATTACTTTGACCTCACAATCGTTGCAAGGGATTTGGTAAACTAAGTTATTCTGCTTAATTGGATCAATAGGATCTTTTCTAACCTACAAAACTTATTTCCAAGTGAGTTCGTAGGTTTAAATGTCACTCTAATCCCAGCACCAACCATCATGAAGGGGAGAAATCTGAAGGAAGTTTTCTCTTCCGCCTACCTATCAAGGCAGCATTGTTTCAACTACAGGCAGCGTCACAGGCACAGATAAGCATGTGAAAGCCAGGATCGGAGAATCAAGGAGAAGCAGGCGTTCATTAACCTGAAATCAGTGTGGAGATCTACTGCACTGCACTGCACTGCCTTGCACTCAGCATAAACAACATCTGGATTTTCAGCACTGATGTCAGTCAAGTTAGTGCCTGCTTGTATGTAATGATTGAGAGAGTTGGTGGGTTACGAAAATGCTTTTCAAACAAATTGCAGACATACATCATCAACAGGTACCACCTACTTTCACTCGATACTGTAGATCAGATCAGATGGGAAGAAAAAATCAGCAAGTAGGAAGTCTGGTTGGCTGGTAACGAACCAACCAACAATCTGTCACCCAGCAAATATGCAGAAGAAGAAAGTGGAGATGGATTGGATTGGACATAGACTGAGTAGACCGTTTAGGGACATAACGCGCCAAGCCAGGTCGTCGAGTGGCACCGAAATGGGAAACGGCGAGTTGGGCGTTGGAGGAGATCATGTGAGGAAAAAATGAAAGCTTGTGTATAGTCGTGGAGAGAGGTTTCAAAAAGAAGACTGCAGATTAGCGAGTGAAATGGAGACGTGTTGCTGAAGCTCTGAGTTCAACTATGAACCCATGGGACAAACAATTATTTTTATAATTGTGATTTCAGTTGTTACTAGGGTGGAGTTTAAAGTCAGTCCTGAGTTCTTGGTGTCAACAGGACTTCCATTGCAAACCACCTGTTAACTAACAAACACCACCAGTTATGATCTCTTACATCAAAAGTGTCTTGAAGCGGCAAACTATACTACTGAATGGTTGGAGTAGTCAGAAAACTGCTCTTGAAATTTTCATATCCTAACAAGTGTTTCGTATGTACTAAATTCATTGAGTAGTATATTGTAGCGTGTAGCTGTAATACTTTCATTTGAAATTGTCCTCCATGAAGTGAATTCGCTAACACATCTTAGGTGTACAGAATCCCTGAATGTATCGAACAGTTTATCCTAAATAACGTCATCATTGGTAGGAATAATCCTTAGATTTTACGGCAATAATCTTCACGAATTCCGCTTAGTAGCATAGTATTGCTCAGTCAATTTGATAAGACTTCTTTTATTTCGATGGATAAAATTTTTACTTTATTTTCTCTGAAAACAATCTCACCTTACAAGTCAAAATTGAATCATCAGCAGGAAACGTTTCAACTTGTTTTGTTTAACACAAGTCCTGTGACCTTCAGAAGAGATAACCTATTGATTTTTCCCGCCTCAAGATTTCATAAAGTAGATAAATTTATCTACCAGACATTCTTGTTAAATATTTTCACCTTGGAATTTCGGTGAAAATGTAATTTGTTTTAATTATTCAAGGTCACTCTCAAGGTCACACATACTGTGGTCTATGTATTAGGCAGTTATGCGTAACGGAAGGCTAATGATGGCCAATCGCCAAGAAGATGATGCTGGTAAGGAATTGAATGTATCCAGAAATGCGAGAAAGATAGCGTATACCGTTGGTGATGGATTAAAATTCAGTGGTTTGTCATGAACCTTCAAGGTCATTGGTTCGATCTGTGGTAATATAAATTGTTGAGAAGTCAATCGGATACAAGAATGAATTTGGCGGTCTTCAATACTACCAGATCTTCAATGAAGTAATAACATCTCAAGATGAGTACTACTATTGAAAGTGATAAACAACCCCATAGAATTCTTCAAATTGTATATCAATTTTTGTATATTTGTAATCAGTTATGCATTACAATCACATTTGTATTGTCAATAATCTCATCTTTCTATCTATTTTTTCTTACCCTAATTAGCTGACAACTCAAAGTCATGAATATCCACAGTTATACAGTAATAATAATAATAATAATAATAATAATAATAATTCAGATGGCTGGATTACTCAAGAAGTATACACTGGAGAGTCATTTGATCAAAGTAATACTTTAAAACAATCCGGAAAATATGAATTTGATAGAAAAACGAAACAAAAGGAGTAAGTTGATTTTAAGTAGTAAATGTTGATAATCGCCTGTTAATTTATCATTGAAATACATTTCAACATTGTTTTCAGTACATAAAGATAGGCATACATAGAGTGCTGAGAGGTAAACTCGTTCAGCTGATGAGTCTCAACTTGGATGAAACATACATATTAGATGCTACTATCAGCATTCTATAAACAAGCAAACTATAATCCTAATAAATATATAAGGAATTATAAGGTGAAACAAAAGGTTAGACAAGTAGGCCAGGAAATCTATGCCAAAAAAGTGAACACATCAAGAATAACCTACTTCTTAGCAACCACCGAATTTCACTTATGAGTAAATTCATGAAAATCGGGAGGAGAATTATGAGTAGTGTGAGCAGTAGTAGTAGTGGTAGTAGTAGTAGTAGTAGTAGTGTGAGTAGTAGTAGTAGTAGTGTGAGTAGTAGTAGTAGTAGTAGTAGTAGTAGTAGTAGTAGTGTGAGTAGTAGTAGTAGTAGTAGTAGTAGTAGTAGTGTGAGTAGTAGTAGTAGTAGTAGTAGTGGTAGTAGTAGTAGTAGTAGTGTGAGTAGTAGTAGTGTGAGTAGTAGTAGTAGTAGTATTAGTAGTAGTAGTAGTAGTAGTAGTAGTAGTAATAATAATAATGATAATAATAACAATGATATCAATAATGGTAAGTTAGCTGGGAATGGTGGTATTTCTGGTAATAATGTTAGCAGGGTTTGAGGGTGTGCTATCACATGTAGAAAGTCACTTCAGAGACATTCCATAAGAATCTTAATATAGGGTGGCTGGTATTTGGATGGCACTTAAATCTACAAACTCACTTAGAAACAAGCTTTACAGGTTACAAAGATCCTGTTGATACAATTAATCACAATTAATTGGTTTATCAAATCCATTGTAACAACTGTCAGGTGAAATACTTCATACCATCAGTGAGAATAATAGAGCACATACACTTCCGTCATCTTAAAAATACCTTTTTATTGAGTGGAATTCTCAGCTCTATTGTTATGATAAACAATTTTTAACTGTATCAGTGGGATGCAAGCGATCAATAGGCTATTATGGACTCAGGTTTCGTACTTATCAACACTCATCAACCACTTTTCATCATTTCGTTTATACTTATCATCTTCCAGTGTAACTCATCTTTGATATACACTTCAATGTAAGAGTAAAACTTGTACATTATGGTAGAATCTAATTCGATTTTGGTTAACTTATTTAGATGTGTACCACGCAGTGTTATTGTCTACTGGATAACGACGTTGTAGACATCATTCAATTGTCCATTGTTGTCATTATCAAGAGAAATACACAACTCTCAGTCACGGTTAACATAGTTCTAAACTTCTCTCATCTCCTTTGTGATATGCGTAGAGAGAGATACTGAATGATTTCTGTTAAATGGATGTCTGTGGTGTTGATTCGATGAACAATGATGATTCGGTTATCAATCTCTTCCTGCACTCAGCTAGTTTAGTTTCAAGGATTTTCACCCTATCCCATTCTATTGTGTGTGGTTGTGTAGTGTCATGTACAGCTATGGTGGAGGTTTACTCAGGATTCCTTGTGTTACCACGATGTACGTGTCTCAATTTAGTTGAGTTTTCGTGCCCATATAACCTACTTGACCCCGGTCGACTACTGTTACACCGCGCCTCTATCTATGGCTGCTACAATATCTAGTCTGGTTGCAAAATAGAACTCATATTAAATCGTTCAAAGTGTTTTCTTTTTCGCCTCTTTGGACAATTTCTTCATCAGTGTCCAAGTTTTCTGCATGCAAAGCATTTACCCTGTCTGTTGATGTTCATTCGAAGAGCAGCTACCTCTTTCTGAAGGTTGTTGATTTGTTCTTGCCAGTTATTTACCTCTGGTGACTCCACTGCCACTACTTCTGTATCCATTAGCTGTCTGATCACGTTGGCCATCTCACTAATGTCCATGGGTTGGGCTGAGTTGACTATTCGTAATTGCTGGGCGACGAAATTCGGTGAACTGTGCAGCCAGCATCTGTTCCTGGGAGTCCTCATCCAACGTGCGAAGTGCTCGTTGAAGAAGTTTAGTCAGCTTGACAGCCAACACCAGCGGATGTTCGTTGGATACTAAGTTTCTTGCTCCAGAACTGCCACATTGCAAACTGTTTTTTTCGCTTGAATTTTCTCTTTTTTTTTCAACTTTCTTCAACATTTTTCAATGAAGTATGGGTCAATAGATATACGTGTATATGGAAACGGATGCGGACATGCGTTTTTCTTCCTTTCACCTCTACTCGGCTATTATTGTTCATTAAAAGTACACTGAATACTCACTCAATAGTGAGAAAATGAAAATGGGTGGAAAAAAAAATTTTTTTAGGTGAAGAAAAAAATTTGAAGTTATAAAACAACACATTGAAAGAAAAAAACTGATCAATAACTCAGTGGTAATCTCACTAACTGGAACATTCGACAACATAAGAGATATTAGTTTCCTCGACATTTTGCCAATATGCCTTACTGATGAGTACGAGAAGGGACGAAACCTGGGTAGAGTAGTCCTACTTGCCAATCCCCTTCAACTGAACAAAATACCTTTATGCTCATAAAGTTGAAACCTCACCCGGTTAACTACTTCACTAGTTTACTAGCCGGTCCTAAGCCCGGGTAAAAAGGGAAGGTTGAGTATGTGGCTAGCAACCCTACACCGTAAAACCATTCCAACCACAACAGAAACTTCAAAGCACAGACAGAATATAGTAAATAAAGACAAACTTATTCCTCACTGTAATCGGAGAGACGAAATGACACCGGTTGGTGAAAGCCTACGGAATACCACAAACATTTATCGGTCTCATTCAACAACTGTATGAAGACACCACATGCCAAGTGACTCACAATGGAAAGCTCAGTGATGCCTTTGAAGTGAAGACAGGAGTAAGACAAGGTTGCCGCCTACTGTCGTCCCCGATAATCTTCCTGATTGTGGTCGATTGGATCATGCAACAAACTGTGAGCAGGGAGAAGAGGGTGATACGCTGGCCCCACCTGGGAAAACAGCCTAGAAGATTTGGATTTCGCCCATGATGATGATTTATGTCCAATGTCTTGTTGCACAAACTCGAAGATCTACACACGAAAACTAACAAGTTGATTGAAGAGACAGGGCAGTGAAGATGGGACTTCAAATGGGCATAGAGAGGACGGTGGTGATGAAGATACCCAACCAACAACAACATCAACAAGAAGAGGTAGCAATCACCATGAACGGGAGAAACCTAAAGGAAGTAGTCTCTTTCACCTACCTGACAGGACAGCATCGTCTCAACTAGAGGCGGCGGCGGTGGCACAGGCACAGACGAGAACGTGAAAACCAGCCAGGATCGGAAAGACAGCAAGACAGGCTTTCATTAACCTGAAACCAGTGTGGAGATCTTCTGTATTCAGCATAAAGGGTGAACAGCATCCGGATTTTCAACAGCGATTCAGTCAAGTCAGTGATGCAATATGGTTCAGAAACATGGCGTATCACGAAATGCAGTTTCAACAAACTACAGATATTCATCAATTTAGCTGCTGCCTATGCTCACTGGATACTGAAGATCGGATGACTAGAAGGAGTAGGCAACGAGGAACTCAGACTGGCTGGCAACGAACCAACCAACCAACAACGTATCACCCAACAAATATGCACTGTAAGGAAGTGGAGATGGATTGGACATACACTGAGGAGACCGTTTGAGGACACCGGGTGGCAGGTCAGGCCTTTGAGTGTAATCCACAAGGGGGACGATGAGTTGGACGTTTGAGACGAAGGTGACATGGAGGAGATGGTGTGAGGGAGAGATGAAAGCTTGTGGGTAGTCATGTATCCAGGTTGAAAAGACTGCAGATTGGAGAGTGGAATGGAGACGTGTTATTGAAGCCCTTTGTTTCACTAGGAACTTAAGGGACAAATAATAATAATAATGATAATAACGGTAACATGAATACTTTGACAATGCGTCACCTTCAAGTTCACGAGGAGTGAATATACAACAGTAATCAGAAGATGACAGGATCTGAATTCTTGACCAAATTGTGTTGTCATGGGTAACAGTATAAATACAGCTACTGACGTCACAGTGTCATCCAGTAGATTCCACTTAAAATCATACAAGACATACACATACATTTTACCATTATTCTCTTTCAGCTGTCCCATTCACTTAGACACTAGTCACTTACAGGAAACGTATTCTCTTGACTACATAGAGAAAGGTCAACACAGAATGTAGAGCACAGGTGAATCATTTCCAGCTGAGAGACACACACTTCCAAAGGGTGGTGGGAGTGGGCATGGAAAGAACAAGTTGAGAGAATAAGGCAACTATGAAGTATTGTTAAGGTGGTGAAGAGTGTATATATCTGCTCCCAACAGGTGGTTTTCGTTATGTCCAGCATCTCTGTCAGATCGACAGTCTGAGATTCTACAGCAGTGTACAAGTAATGCAGACGTCAATAGTAGTAATTATCATAATGGCGATTCTGTGAATAGAGAATCCAAAGTCTTTACAGTACTACTGCTACCATGCAAGGTAGGCATCTCAGAGACATTACATAAGAATCTCAGTAAGTTTGACTAGGATTTGAACAGCATTTTAATAATCAAACTCACTTAAAAGCAAGCTTCGTACATTGAAACACCCTACCGATGCAGTTAAGCATAATAATCGTATTTACCAAATCTCTTGGAATGATTGCTAGGTGAAATACTTCATAGGTTAGTAGAATTAGTCGGCCAGGATCAATTAGGCTATCCAAGAGCACAAGCATCGCTAGTTGAAGATTAGTAGAGTAAGAATTTAGGGGAATGCTTGACTAGTTATAGCTCTGTAAGAAATTACACACAGTAAGGTGTGGAATATACTGGCACTATCAAAAAATTAACTTAGTCGAGTAGGTGGAGGGAGAGATCGGTAACCGAATCATTATTGTTTATCGAATCAACACGAAATACACATACAGTAACAGGAATGA